TTTGTGGTACTGGGACTTGAACTCAGGGCCTTCACCTCAAGCCACTCCACCAGCCCTATTTTTGTGATGGGTTTTTCAAGCTAGGGTCTTGTCAACTATTTGCCCAGGCTAGCTTCGAACTTCGATCCTGCTGATCTCTACCTCCTGAGAACCTAGGTTTATAGGCATGAGCCACCAGCGCCTGGCTTAATCCCTTCCTTTTAACCGTTACACTGTCCTGACCCTGTGGAAGAGAAAGTGTGTATGAAAGAGATTCGTGAACAGGGGAGATTGTGTAAATATCATTACTAATCTTGACACAGAAAATTAAAAAAAAAATAAAATCCCTTTCATGTCTGTCTAAGCTTTCTTTATCCATGACAGCTGCTAGCAAGCATGGTGTCTCTGCCCTTCCTCCCCACCTGCAGTTCTCCAGATCATCCTTCCTGGGTGGCTGTGTTCTGCTCAGAAAGTCCCCTTCTCTGTTCATTCCTCCTTTTCCCCAGCATCCTTGGCTCCCTCATTTACCACCGCCTTCCTGAGCCAGCCTCTGTTGTTTCCTTGTTTCCCGGGTTGCTTTTTGTCCCACCCCCATCCTGGCAGGGAGGAAGTCAGAATAGAATCCACCGTGCCGCCCCCTTTTATCGGAATCCAAGCCCAGAGCCTCCCGTGCCCCAGCAAGTCTGGCAACAATTGCTACTGTTCCCCCTTCACGGGTGACAGGGAGGCCAGGCGGCTCCTACTCTGATCGCTTCCCTTGTTCTCCCGACACCCGAGAGAAACCACACGTTCCATTTGGTGGTCGTCAGAAATAACATGCTTAAGAAACCTGGAATTATAAAACGGCTTAATTAGGGAGAAATGGTTTCACTGGGATATGCCCAGTTTTCCCCGGTGGGGTGGTTTGATCTCCTCAAAGTGGCCCGCCCCACCCCATAGTTAATTGCTACTTTTATCATGGTGTACTAGGCACTCGCTCCTTGAATTTTATTTTCTGTGACATCAGTGCTTGCTTATAAACCGGATTTCTCTCTTCAGTGTTCCAACTCTCCTTTGCCATCAGCAAAGTTTAGGAAGTTGGCAGGGGTGATGAGGGTGGAATCTTCAGCTTCAGAGGCCCCCAGTCCTGCTATGGGCTAGAGACTGGGGTGGGCTCGCAGTCCAGTGGGAGAGACAGGTGCTAGAAAAATTTATTAAATATTCTGGGAGCTGGTGGAGTGTCTCAAGCAGTAGAGCACCTGCCTAGTAAGTGTGAGTCCTTGAGTTCAAAGCCCAGTACTGCTAAAAAAAAAAAAAAAAAGTGGCTAAATATTCTGGGAAATGACCTAAGATAGAGGAAAGAGGGAGCATTACTACATAGGAAGGGAAGAGGGAAGGAAGGATGGATGGATGGATGGATGAGTGGGAGAGAAGAAAGGAAAGAAGAGTGGATAGATGGGTGAGTGGATGGATGGATGTGGATGGATGGATGGATGTGGATGGATGTGGATGGGTGGATGGATGGGTAGATGGGTGGATGGATGGGTAGATGGGTGGATGGATGAATAGGTGAGTAGATGGATGGATGAGTAAGTGGATGAATGGGTGGGTGGGTGAAGGGGAGGGAAGAAAGGAAAGATGAGTGAAGAGATGGATGGATGGATGGATGGATGGATGGATGGATGGATGAGTGGATGAATGGCTAGATGGCTAGCTGGCTGTCTGGCTGGCTGGCTGGTTGGTTAGATGGACTGGCAGTCCTTGCCATCCTTGGAGCTTCTGTACCATTGGTTCAGTATCCATCATACCATTGGCTGTATGAAACAAATATGGCAACCATCTCCCACATCTCTGCTCTCTTATCACCTCCACCTTTCACAAGTTCCAGAGGAAAAACTAGAGTTTCCTTCTAAGGGATGTTCCTGGGGCTGCAGAACTGACTGGTAGGAGTCAGGAGGGGTAAAAAAAGCCCTTCATGGAACCATGACCTCAACAGAGAGTCAGCCAAACAGTCACAAATGTAGAGGTGAGTGCATGACTGGACACTCTTCCTTGGTCCTTGACTCATGTGCACACATCTGCATCAACAGGGTCCCTTCAGAGTGGCCTATGCCCAGCTATCAAGATGGGTATAAGGAGCTGATATAATGTCTCTCCCCCATGACACGTAGCATCTATTTGATATATGTGCACGTTTTGAAGACTTTCCCCTCTAAACAAAAATTTAGAAAAAGAGAATGAATGAATTTTACATTCACCATTTTTCAGATTGTAAAATGAGCATCTCCTTAGGTCAATAGGTATCATTTACCAAGATGGTTTCTTTTTAACTTTTAATTTGGGATAATTTTAAGAGTTAAAGAAAAGTTGGAAAACTTTTACTGAGAGTTCCCACATACCCTCCATCCAGCTTTCCCTAATGCTAACATCTGATGTAGCTGTAGTACAAAGCCAGGAAACGAACATTGATACTGTTGCTATTTTCTTTTTCTTTACATTTCTTTGATACTGTTACTGTTGATGGCACCAGACCTTATTCATGTTGCCAGATACCCTACATCTTTTTCCTAGTCCCAGACTGAATCCAAGTTCACACATTGCGTTTACTTGTAGAATCTCCTTGACCTTCTTCCATCTGGCAATTCCTTGGTCTTTGTCTTTGACCAAAACTGATTTTTGAAGAATTCTGGGGAGTTAGTCTATGGACCGTACTTCATTTGGTTTGTCTCGTTTTCTGAGGATTGATTGAAGTGATGAGTTTTGGGTGAGAGTATTGCAGAAGTGTTACTGTGTCCTTCTCAGTACAGCACATCAGGGAGTTCACGATGCTAATATGACTTATTACTGAGGCTGCTAACCTTGATCACTTGATGGGCATGTGATTAATGTGGTATTGTTGTTTGGTTTCATTAACAAAAAGTAGCTTTTTTTTCAGGATAATTTTTTATGGTCCTGGGGTTTGAACTCAGGGGCCTCATACTTGCTAGGCAGGTGCTCTACCATTTGAGCCACACTCCCAATCCTTCTTGCTTGGGATATTTTTGTGACAGAGTCTTGCTTTATACCTGAGCTGTCCTTTTCTTCATTCCTCCTATTTGTGCTTCCATGTAGCTGGTATGACAGGCACACGCCACCATTTGCAGCCATTGGATGAGATGGGATCTCACAACCTTTTCGTCCAGGCTGGCCTCAGACAGTGATCCTCCCAATCTCCACATCCCAATTCATTGGGATTGTACACGGGAGTCACTGTACCCAGCCAGGAAAATGTTTAATAGCTGTATGACTTTCTGTTATAGATCTCTAACATCATCAGGCCTTCTTTTTTGTACATTGCCTTTGTGACTTCTTTTGTTGTGGTTACAAAAAAATGCCACAGTGTCTATTCCTATTGGCACATCTTTCCACGTGTCCTTGTTATTTTAGTAGTAGAATTGCTAGAGCAAAGAAAATTTACATTTGTAAGACTGTGGATACCTGGAGCAGAGTTTTTGGCTTATGTGTTTTTAAGCAGGTTTATTAAAGTATAATTTAAGTACAAAAAATGCACAGACGTGGGCATATGTTTCGATGAGTTGTGGCACACATACTCCCCCATGTGACCTCCATCACAATCAATGATAGAATATTTCTATCATTTCCCCAAATTTCTTCTTATGCTTTTATAGTGCTCATTTTTCATATAAACCAGAATCACCTGATATAGATTAATTCGCAACCATCTCCTTTTTTTCAACATAATGTTTGTCCTGATTCACCCACCTGGTCACAAATAGCAGCAATCTTTTATTATTATTGCTGAGTTTATTATCCTGTTTTATAAATAGTGCCAGAATTTGTTTATCCATCCAACCATTGATGGACATCTGGGTCGTCTGGAGTTGAGGCATTTTCTGAATAAAGGCTGCTAAGAACATTTGTGTCGTGCAGACATATGATTCTGCTTCTCCTGGGGAAATTCCTCAGAGAGGAATCAGCAGTCACAAGTAGGTTTCTGCCTACTTTCATTAGACAGGACAGGGTGGGTTATTTTCACCTCCCTCTTATGGCCCAAGCCACAGAAAGCTGTGGGACTTATCCAAGGGTGAAGGGAAGAAGGGAAATAGTTTGTGTACCTAGCTCAACGTCAGGCACGTTTCCTGATCCTCTCCATGAAGCCCCAGCAAGGTGGGGAGTTGGATACCCATTCTGCAGGTGAGTAAATGGAGGCTTACGAAATGCAGCCTGATAAGTCAAGCCCTGCTCTGTGTGAGGCCCCAAGTCACCCTTCTTTCCCCGGATACCATCCTGCATCCTCTGAGGTAGCAGATGATGGAGCTGGAGTGGTAGACATCTCCTTGCTGTCAGCCTCCTGGCCTGGCCTTACCTGCCACCAGTGCCCTCCTACCCAGGCCCTTGGGGTGGTCACCTATGATTCCCATGTCGGCCCTCTACAGTAGTGTAGAGGGAGGCAGTGACTATTCTCCATACACACAGCAGGAAGCAGACAGTCAGGTGTGGTGGTGCACATCCATAATCCCAGCTAAACAGAGGTAGAAGGATTACACACACAGAGGCCAGCCACAGGCAACCGTGAGAGATCATATCCAAAAACTAAACTGAAAGCAAAAAAGGATGGGGGTGTGGCTCAAGTGGTAGAGCACTTGCCTAGTGAGCGTGAGGCCCTAAAGCCAAGCTACAGTACCACTAAAAGCTAATAATAATAATAATGAAATAAAAAGAAGAAGAAACAGATAGTGAGCACACTGGAACCCTGTGACAAATCAAAGTGTTTCTCCCTCTCTGAAACCTGATCCTTGCTGCTTTGATCCTCTAGGCTGGCAGGCACTGGGTGAGGGCCTTGGCCAAGGGCTGTGTCTCCCTGGCCATCTCTGGGCCCCATTAGAGCTGGCCTGAGTGCTTTCTGAAGCTGATTAATGGCCTGCCTGTGACCTGGAATGTCATTACTACCCTGCCTGGGTCCCCCCAACCCCCACCCCCACCTCGCTTGGCCCTTGGGTCTTTACTGCTAATAATAATTGATGCTCTTTGTGTGGTTGCAGGGAAAATTCTATCTGGTCATTGAAGAGTTGAGCCAGCTGTTCCGATCCCTGGTCCCAATCCAGCTGTGGTACAAGTACATCATGGATGATGACCCCTCCAATAGCTACTTGCTGGGTGGAGTCCTCATTGTCCTCTACAGTCTCTGCAAGGTGAGCTGATTGAGGCTGGAGAGCTGGCCCCAGGGGCTGCTGGGAAGCCTGGACTAGCCCTGCTCACCTCTTCTGTTTTAAGTTCACACAATGTAAAATTAACCACTAACCATCTTCAAGTGGTAGATTCACAGTGTCAGGCAACCAGCCCCTCTATCTAGACCTGATGTTTTTAGCACTCCCCAAAAGAAGCCCTGTACCCTCAAAACAGTCACTCCCCATTCTAACACTTTCCTCCCCCTAAACCCTGGCAATCACCAATCTCCTTTCTGTCTCTGTGAAATTACCTATTGGGGATGTTTCATATAAATGGAATCTTGCAGGAGATAACCGTTTGTGTCTGGCTTCTTTGATGTGGCCATCTTGGAGGTTCATTCACATTGTAACATGTATCAGTGCCTTTTGGCTACTCCTGCCTGTTTTGGGGGGCCATTAGCTTGGTAAATCTTCACTCTTAAGGCAGTGTTTGTGTCTTGCCATAAGATGGGTTTCTTGTAAACAACAGATTGTTGGGTCTTCCTTTTTAATCCAGTTTGCCAATCAGGGTCTTTTGATGGGGGAGTTGAGTCTATTAACATTCTGTGTTAGTATTGAGAGGTATGTGGTGATTCCTGCCATTTGGTTGTTTTCATTGTGTAAGGATTTGAGTGTGTGCAGCCGATTTAATGCTACTCTCTGAGTGCTTATGACTGGTCTTCTCCTGAGGTTAAATAATCCCCATCCTTTCAGGGCTAGGTTTGTTTTCATCATCTGTATGGGGGATTCCTTTCAGGATCTTCTGTAGTGGTGGTTTAGTGATCATGTATTGTTTAAGTTTCTGTTTTATCATGGAAGGTTTTTTCTTTTCTTTTCTTTTTTGTGGTACTGGGGCTTGAACTCAGGGCCTACACCTTGAGCCACTCAACCAGCCCTTTTTTGTGATGAGGTTTTTCAAGATAGGGTTTTGTGAACTACTTGCCCAGGCTGGCTTCAAACTACCAGCCTCTGATCTCTGCCTCCTGAGTATCTAGGATTACAGGCGTGAGCCACCCACATCCAGCTTCATGGAAGGTTTTTATTCCTCCTTCAGTTTTGAATGATAGTGGTATAGGATTTGAACTCAGGGCCTTGCACTTGCTAGGTAGGTACTCTACCACTTGAGCCACACCCCCAGCCTGCATCAGTGTTTTTTATGGTTGAATCCATCCTGATTTCTAGCCAGTGAAGCTTACCATATGCTATTCATTCACATCTTCACAACAGCCCTCAACTCCCATTCCTACTCCCATTTTATAGATGGGGAAACTGAGGCATGGGGACACGAAGTTACTCTCCCAAAGTCACTTAGAAATTACAAACCTCAAACCCAGGCAGATTGCCTCCAAAGCCCAGAACTCCTAACCACCCCACCACTGAATGTGTTTTCTCTCTTCTTATTGCAAAATATCATCCCTCTTACACTCCACACTCTCAGTGCCTCAAATCAGTAGCTAACACTTTGCATTTCATCCTGGGTGCAAATCAGGGTCTTTTTCCCTAAAAACAAGTTCATTCTCCTCTTACTTTTTTCTTCTGTACTTCTGCCTCTAGAGGATCCTGGAGAATGCATGTTTGTCTTTCCTTCCTCCAAGCAATTTATTTGATCCAGCCATGGGGCTTTTATTCTGCTTGCTGATGCTGATCGACTAGCAGAGGCTGGCTGGAGGAGGATTACCAGGCTCTGCCTGGGCTCATAGGAGCAGCACAGTGATTGATCAGCAGCGTTTACCCTGAGCTATGGATAGGAAGAGTATGTGTGCCATTTATTTGCTATCTGGCTTAGGTAGCAGGGAAGACTGTTATCAGGCAGCAAGACAAAAGCCAAGCAAAACTGACGCAAATGGCAAGATGTTTCCTGAAAATGTTCTGACTCAAAGATGGGTGCCAGGGAGATTGTTCAGGGATAGGGGGAGATCCTGAACCCCTGAATGATGACGTTCAGTTATCATTCTGCTCAACTTTCAGTCATTTGACATCTGTGGCCGTGTTGGCGGAGTTAGGAAAGCCCTGAAGCTCCTCTGTACCTCTCAGGTGAGTGGACTTCCTGGGGGGTTGGAAGGAAGGTCCTGACTGGAACCTGGGAACTGGAGGTGGCAGCCACCCCTTCCTCACCCCACAAGTCTCACAATGGTCCTCAGGGCATCATCCACCCTCTACCCCCACCACAGCTGTGTTTGTGTCTCCTGCTCCTTTCCAAACAGAACTATGGGGTCCGAGCCACCGGGCAGCAGTGCACAGAAGCCGGTGATATCTGTGCCATCTGCCAGGCAGAGTTTCGGGAGCCTGTGATTCTCCTGTGTCAGGTGAGCAAGAGATGCCCTCTTGAGGGACTGAGGCTGCCCTGGGAAAAGTCTGTCTCATGACCAAGCCTTGAGGCTCTGGTGTGGATCAAAAAGGAGTCATCCAGACCCGAGTTCAAATCTCAGTTCTGCCTCCTACTGGCTGGGTGACCTTGGGCAAGTTACTTAACCTCTCCGAGCCTCAGTATCATTGGCAAAATGCAGAAATACCAAATTCAGTAGGGCGTAGTATTAAAATAGCCTGAGTGTGAATTCCATTACTTTTTGTGTACGTGTTCCAGGGATTGAACGCAGGGTCTCTGGCACATGCTAAGTGTACTTAGTATACTACTGAATGGCACCCCCAGTCCTCAGCATCATTCTTGACCCATGGTGGGGGGGTCATCCATCTCCCTGTGCCATATTTAAAAGGGCACAATAATACTTCATAGATCTCTTGTTACAATTAAGTGAGATTACCTATGGAAAGATGTAAAACTGAATTATTTAACCACAGCAATAGCTAGTGTTATTATCACTATATCTAATATTACCAATTAATTTCATTATTTGTCATGGGTCACCAACCCAGGGTGGTAAGTGCTGGTCAGTCCCTTTGAAGTCTCTAAATGCATCCCTCCCTCCTCCTCCTGACATTGGGGCCAGGCGTCAATTTAGAAAATGCACATTGGGTCAAAGCATCCTATCAGATATCAGGGAGGAGAGGCAGAGGGACACAGAGCCTGTCCCCTCCTCTGGAAGCTGGTGGCCTCCTTGGGGAGACAGACACATACATAAATAACTATGAAACAAGGCAGGTGGTGATAAGTGCTGTGTAAGAGAGATTCATGCATTGTCCCAGGGGACCCGGGCAGAGAGTGATGAATCCCTGGGTGGGGACGCTGTTGGAGGAGGCAGAAGCCAGGCTTCCAGAAGGAATGGAAAGCAGATGGCCCTCCCACCACTCCCGAAGGTGGGACAGGAGGTGGGGTCCTCTTTTTAGCATCAGCAAAAATTCCTTCTTATTACTGCTCAAGGGTTTTGAAGAAGTTTATTTGTAATTTAATTTAGTTTCCTTTGAAGTTGACAAACGAGTCAAAATTCCAAAAGGAGATATGACAGCTGAATGTAATATGGAATCTGGTTTGGATCCTAGAGCAGGGAAAGGATGTTTGAAAACTAATTTGGTGCAACCTGAATCAGGTCTGGAGTTTTGTGGTTAGTAGTACATTGATGTGTGTGGACTGGTCAGGTTTGACAGACCTACTTCAGTCATGCAAGTTCCCACTACGGGAAACTGAAACTGGGGCAGGGGGATAGAGGGATTTTCTGTTCTATCTTTGCAACTTCTCTGTAAGCCTCAAATTATTTCAAAATAAAAAGTTTATTTTAAAAAGTCTTTGTGGCCAGGCATGGTAGTATATGCCTATAATCCCAGCTACTCTAAAAGAATTTTGACCTGGCTCCCACCCCCCCAAAAAAGAGAGACCTTACCTGAAAAATAACTAAAGCAAAAAAGGCTGGGGAGTGTGGTTCATGTAGTAGAATACATGCCCAACAAGCATGTAAGCCCTGAGTTCAAATCCCAGTAGCATCCAAAACAAATTTTTTTTTGCAAGATATTCGAAGAACAGTGACAGACCTCTTGCCTTGTCCCCAACTCTCTAATCTCTTTTACCCACAGGAACAACCACTTTTACCCACCTCCTTTGAATCTTTTCAAAGATGTCTTAGGGAATTTCAACATATATATCAAACATACATATACACATGTGTGTCTGTATATGCACGAATATACCTGTATATGTATGCAAACACAGACATACACACAGCCGAACATATCTTTTAAAGAACTCTGAGCTAGAGCACATCATACCCTCCCTATCATGTGCACTTGGCGTTTACTGCTTGCAGCTCCTGGAGATTGCTCCTTACTCAGTTTTATAGCAGCATAATCTTCTATTTGATGGATGGACCACAATTTATGCAACCCTTCTCCTCTTGACAGGCATGTAGTGCCTTTTGTTGTTACACATATGCTGAAATGTGGCGAGTGGTCCCACCTACCTGAGCTCATCCTGTGGATTAACTCCAATGAGACCTTAGAGCTACACCTGGCACACGATCAGGGTTCAGTAAACACTAGCTCTAGCAGGCAGACATTCTGTTTCAATGTGCCCAAGCTCTTGGTAGGACAGATTCCTAGCGGTGGTATTACTGGGGTTCCACAGTTTTGACAGATACTGCTAGTTTGTTCTTCCATAAAGACAGTGTCTGCTTCTGCTCCCACTTCCTCCCTTCCCATCAGGCAGTGCTACCAAGCCTCAGCTTTGCCAATCTGACAGGTGACGAGCGCTGTCTCAGCTCAGATTTAATTTGCATTTTCCTCATTATGAGCGTGGCTAAGCATCTCTTCACATGCTTCTGAGCCATCTGCATTTCCTTCTCAAATGCAGGGATTATTTGAACATGAGGTCAAGGTGAAAATCTATCTTTTCTTTTGGCATTCCCTCTAAGCCCCGATCTATCTCTCTTCCCTTATCCTGGTACCATCACATCTTCCCACAGCTGGGTTAGAAATTCATAGGAAGGGCCCGATAAGACTCTGTTGTCCTGCTGGGAGTGGCTGGAGACCACAAACATCACCAGGCCAACTGTGCATCTCTGGGTCACTCTGCCACTGTGACTTAAGCCTGGAAGGGCAGAGATGACTTGCACGAGTGAAAGGGCCTTGCTGATCTCTAAATGTATTCAGGGAATGAACAAATGAACAAATGACTCAGTTCAAATGTCACTTCACCAATATGGCTTTCCCTGGTTCTCCTTCCCCAGACTAGTCGTGTTCCCATCCATCCTGGTCTCATAGATCGCTGTGCCTTCCCTTCACTGCACTTTTTCCACTTGTTAGCTGGGTATCTTACTGGGTAACTATCTCCCCTCTGCCAAATTATAAGCAACATGAGAGTGGAGACCTTGTTTGTGGTGTTTAGCAGCCAAGAATGGATGGATGGATGGATGGATGGATGGGTGGGTGGAAGGATGTACAGATAGGAGGATGGATGGATGGATGGATAGTGGATGGATAGATGGGAGGAAGGATTGGCGCATGGATGGGTGGGAAGATGAGTGGTGAATGGATTAATGGATGGATGATGGATGTGTGGAAGAATGGATGGATGGATGGATGGATGGATGGGTGGGTGGAAGGATGTACAGATAGGAGGATGGATGGATGGATGGATGGATGGATGGATAGTGGATGGATAGATGGGAGGAACGATTGACGCATGGATGGGTGGGAAGATGAGTGGTGAATGGATTAATGGATGGATGACGGATGTGTGGAAGAATGGATGGATGGATGGAAGGATGAATGGACGGATAGGAGGAAAGAAGGATAGGATGGTGGCAGGTGAAAGAGTGGGTGGGTGAGTGCAAATGCGAATGAATAGAGATAAAAGTGGGTAGGTGACTGTGTATGAGCAAATGGTTGGACAGATGGGTGGGTAGATAGGTGAGTAGATGTGTGAATGGATGAGTGGATGGATGGGTGGACATATGGGTGGGTATGCAGCCTTCTCTTTCCCCTTCAAAGAGTCATCAAATGAATCTCTGAGTGTCACTCCCTCTGCCCTCAGCCCACCCATTGAGCTTGGCCTGGAGAGGCAGACACTGAGCTTGTGCAGAAGTTGGAAGTCTGCTCAGAGGCTGGCTCAGTTAAGCTCCCTGTAAGTGCTGATGGTGTGCTCCTACCAGGCTGAATCAGGGAAAGCGCATTTTTTAACACAAAGCCAGGCACTTGGTTTATTTAAAGTACTTCTTTGCTAAAGATCAGAGTGAGGGTGCATTTAGGGACCCCCCCCTTCAAGCCAGGCATTGGAGCATGTGCCAGTTATTCAGCACTAGGGAGACTGAGGCAGGAGAATTGGGAGTTCCATGCCAGCTTGGGTTACATAGTGAAACCCTGTCTCAAAAAAAAAAATAACATAACACCTCCCCCCCAGCAATTCTTGGTGACTCTATGTTTCATTTTTTGAGTGTATGGCATATTCAGCAAGAGAGTGATAAAACTGTGACTCCTGTTGATTTTCTGCTGCAAAGTTATTCATGCTTTTTGTTTGACTGTTGGAGCTAGGGTCTCACTTTGTAGCCCAGGCTGGCCTGGAACTTGCAGTCCTCCTGCCTCTACCTCCCAGGTGCTGGGAGGTATCACACCCGGCTTATCATCAGTGTTGTGAAGAACGTGAAGTCATTTAGAGTCAAAATGTCTGAATTAGAAGTTTAGTAAGACAGATACTGTGGTACACACCTGTAGTCTAAGCTCCTGTAGGTTGTAGGCAGGAGGATTGCTTTAGTCCAGCTCAATATGGCCAAAAAACAAGCAAGCAAACAAACAAACACATGGCTTAGCATGGAGGTTTCTGCCCAGCTATGCAGTAGATGTAGGTAGGAGGATCAAGGTCCAAGGCCATCCTGAAAAAAAAAGCAAACAGGCAGGGCTGGGGTGTGGCTAAGCAGTAGAGCACCTGCTTAGCAAGCAGGAGGCCCTAAGTTCAAATCCCAATACTGACAAAAAAAAGGGGAAGAGAGCCTCAATGAATGAGTTTAAAAAAAAAAAAAAACTGACAAATTTAATTTCCTACCAGGCTCTGGTGGCTCGTGCCTGTAATCCTAGTTGAGCTGGGAGGCTGAGATGAGGAGGATTGAGATTCAAGGCCAGCCCAGGCATATAGTTCAAGAGACTCCATCTGTTCAAATGACTCCAGTTGCCTTCAAAATGAACCTTATCCAGGACCCAATCAAGAGTCGTGTGCTGGGTCTAGGGCTCGGTCTCAAGCAGTAGAGCCCCTGCCTAGCAAGCACGAGGCCCTGAGTTCAAAACCCAGGACCACAAAAAAAAAATATCATGTACTGTATTTGGTTGTCATATCTAAGTGCTTTTACTATGTCAGCTGAACTTCCTAAAGGCGGGCGTAGGGTGGTTACTATCTCTATTTTACAGATGAAGAAACTGAGGCACAGGAAGGTTAAATCCCTTGTCAGAGAGATACAGTCACAGAGCCCTGGGATCTGTTGTCTTTCCAGACTCTTCACTTTCCCTTGACCCCTGTGTGCTGTTCTCAGTCGAACAGGCAAAAATCTTTTTTAAACTGCAAATCATATCAGGCACTCCTCAACTCAGAGTCCATCATGACTCCCTACTTCTCTCAAAATAAAAGCCACAATCCTCACCGAGTCTCACTTGCCCTGCAGTCTTTGTGACCTCATCTCCCTCTCCCATCCCCCTCCCTCCAACTCAGCCACACCCTCTTTACTGTCCCTCCAGCACACAGGTACATTCCACCCTCAGGACCTTTGCACAAGCTGTCCTGCCAAATTGTGTCAGGGCTCACCCCTGATGCTTCTTCAAGCTTTGCCCAAAGACTACTATCTCATGAAAATTTCCCCAGACCTCCTTTCCTTCTGACATTGTCATTATTTTCCACATTCATGAGGCCAGTGATCTCTTCCACTGGAGTGAAAACTCCAGGAGGTCAGGGCCAGGCTGTTCACTTTTGTGCCCACTGCCATCCCTACAGCACGTGTTCTGTGAGGAGTGCCTCTGCCTGTGGCTGGATCTGGAACGCACCTGCCCGCTCTGTCGCTCGGTTGCCGTGGACACCCTGCGCTGTTGGAAGGATGGGACCACGTCAGCACACTTCCAGGTGTACTAGGACCATGCAGGAAGATGCCAGAGGGTCAGCATTCCCGGCCCAGCCCTGGGGCTGCCTGGAAAACAGCATCCAGCGGTTCCATCCTCCTCCTGCCCTCCACCTCCTCCAGACCTTCAGCCCCCTGGCCTCCTCGCTCCACTTTCCTGTTCTGTCTCGAGGTCCAGTAATGCATCCTTCCCCAACAGAAGGGGAAGCCATCCTAACTCAGCCCTGATGTGTGGAAGTCATCCACCCCTGCAAGTCCAGCATCGGGAACACACGATGTCCTCACCTCATGTCACCTCCCACCTAGCTCCTGGTACTTAACGCTGCAAACGGGGGAGGAGCCTTGCGATCACCCCTCCTGCATGTGGCCCAGGCCAGCAGGTGACACGTTCTCCAAATGTGTCCCACTGGGCCCCACCATCTTCCTAGAATGACTTCATGTACCAAATGCCCCATCCTGCTTGGGGTGCCTTCTGCCATTTCCAGCCTGAGATGGAAGTGCTCTGTTTCTGAGGGGGAGGAAACTGAGGTACGGAGCTTGGTGTGGCAACTTTCCTGGGGTCCCCCTGCTAACAAGAGGAACTGAGCTTCCCACACAGCCTGCAGGCCTGAGATGCTGCAGGCATGAGCCCAGCAGACTTGGCTAGTTAAAAACCCAAGAGGCGATTGTGACAGTCTTCCCTGGTTAAGAATCGGAGGTCCCAGGGTCCAGCAAGTTGGATACGGACTGCGTTGAGAATGCAAATGGCAAACGTCACCTCCTGAAATCTCCTTGTGCCTGAGTCCCCTGGAAAACTTAAATGTTAATATTCCTCTTTTTCCTGGGCTCAATCCCATTTGGGTACCAAGAAGAGTCACCGTTGGCCAGATGTGGATTCCTCCTTCTTCCATTCTGTCCTGTCTATCTCTTCCGTCTCAGACCTGTCAGCAGCCCCTGCCAAAGGGACCATGCATGTTTCAGATGGCCTGGGGCACAGTGGGAGTTCGGGTTCTATGACAGGGCGACTTCTCTGCCTGTGAAATGCCCTGCTTGGAAATCCGGGACAGACAGCACAGGTGACCACACAGAAGCCAGTGGAATCTTGCCCACCCACCCTTCCAATTATGTTCCATCATTGTCAAACACTGATGTTGGGAGCATTAAAGAGAAAGCAATGCGTGTGGTTATAGAAGCAAATTAGCGTGTGAACCCTGGGGAAAGTGGGGAGCCATCTCCCCCTCCACCCATAGATTCAGGACATGTACCGGGGGCCTTTTTCCTTTGCTTGACATCCGTGACTCTTTCCTGGTACTCAGCAAGACATCCCTTCCAAGGCAGCGTGGCATCTCTCAAGCTCTGTTACTATGGCGATGGCCGTGATGTTAACAATGCCCCTTGACTGGATAATCAAGGCGGGGGGGGCGGGGGGGGAGACGGGCAGGGTGGATGCAGCAGGCTGCTCTCTCTGCCTGGAGGAGAACTGGAGAGAAGCAACTGGTTCGTGTCAGAAACATGGCCCTGCCTGCTGGTGCTGTCAGAGGCACAGGAGACTCACGAGCACGCAGAACAGTGAATCCTGGTTCCATGCTTTGTGGCTTTGGGAAGTCACTTGACCTCCCTAGAGCTATTGCTGGGGTGACGGAACCCAGTATGTTTTCTGCTGGGACCAAGGAAACTGTAGATTACTGGTGACTGTGCCACTGGTTTTGCCAATTATACCCACGGCACCAAAATTTTTTTCTCTTAACATTGCACAAACAGTGAGCTATGCCTCTGACACTATAAAGGATGTCCTGTATTGGGGGGCTCTTGGGGGCAGGTGGTATGGCTTAGTTTGGGATTTTATTTCTTTATTCCCTGCACTGTGGGGGAATGTCCCATCTGGGGGTCTCCTTCTTGTGGGGGGATTGCACTTCTGTCCTAGTGAGGAGCTGCAGGGTTTTCCATGAATTCCACCCCCCAAAAAAGGGGGTCCCTGTGGGGAAAGAGCAATGCCAGTGTCTTTGCCAGTGATGTATGACTCATTTGTTACAAGCAGTTTCTGAGTACTCTCTTTTTTTTTTTTTTTTTTTTGTAGTACTGGGGTTTGAACTCAGGGTCTTCACCTTGAGCCACTCCACCAGCCCTTTTTTGGGTCTCGTGAACTATTTCCCCAGCTAGCTTTGAAACTCCATCCTCCTGATCTGTGCCTCCTGAGTAGCTGGAATTACAGTCACAAGCATAGGCACCCAGCTATCCTGCTCGTACTATCTTATAATCCACTGACCCAAGTTTCACCAAGTCCTCATGAAAGGTCCTGTTTAAGCCAGGTGTGATGGTGCACCCCTGTGATCCCAGGTTAGCCTGGGTTACATAGACTCAAAACTACCGAAAGAAAAAAAAAAAAAGTCCCTATTCATTAAAAAAAAAAAAAACCCTGAGAATAAGATAGGCTCCAGTAGCTCACACCTGTAATCCTAGCTACTTGGGAGGCTCAGATCAAGAGGATCATGGCTTGAGGCTAGCCTGGCCAAATAATTTGAGAAACTTCATCTCCAAAATAGCCAGAGTAAAATGGGCTGCAGGTGTGCTTCAAGCAGTAGAGCGCCTGCTTTGCAAGCACAAAGCCCTGAGTTCAAACCCTAGTCCCACAAAAAAAAAAAAAAAAAAGAAGAGAGAGCCTGTGTGGGGAAAGAAAGGGGGGCTTTGGACCTGGGTAACAGACCCAGCACCTTCAAAAAAGGAGAGTGTGAGTCCTCAGGGAGAAGAGAGACCCCCCCCACACACACACCCCTTGCTAAGGAGGAACTGGGAAGTGAGGCCCCCAGCCTTTTAGTGCTTTTGCTCTGGGACAAACAGCTGCCTTTGGTGTCGTTCTGTCTCAAGTTCCTTTTCTGCCATCAGTCTCATCTGTCGGCCTGATCTTCCTGTGCCTCTTTGAAGCCAAGGGGACCTGCTGCAGGTGAAAGGAGAAGCAGCCCTTCCTGGAGTGGGTCATTCAATGCTCGTGCTTTCTCCGAAGGCAGAGCCTGTCCAGAGGTCATTCCCGGGAACCTGCTCCCAGGAGGAGCCCAAGGGAATGGGTGAAACAGAGCAGGCAAAGGGAAGAAGCCAGGCTAGACAGCGACTTCTGAGGTGATCCCAGCCTCAGCCCCATCCCAAGGGAAGCCTTTTTATTTTTGGCATTGGTGGGGTTTAAACTTAGGGCCTTACGCTTGCTAGGCAAGTGCTCTACCACATGAGCCGTACTCCCAGAACTTTTCCTTTTAGTTTGCTTTTCGTTTAGGGTCTTACACTTTTGCCCAGGCTGGCCTAGGACCTGGATCCTCCCACCTCTGTTTCCTGAGCAGCTGGGACTACAGGCATGTACCACCATGCCCAGCCATAAGTTGCATTTGAGATTGTCCCTCCTCGGTTTTTGTAATCACAAAACACACCAGTCAGTCTTTGGCTCTGGGTTGATGGGAGGACCTCCCGAGCCCTTCCGGCTCTCTACTGAGGAGGGCTCAAAGTCCAAGGAGGACTCTGAAGGCCTCAGAAAAGCCTCATCTGCAGAACGGGAACATGGGATTGGTGAAAGGGATCAGGAAGGACCCCGGCAGGGCACCTCAAGTGTCTGCTGAAGAGGTAAACTACCGGTTATATGGACCCAGAATGTACAGGGTGACCTAGCACTGGCTAGGCCTGAGCCGGGTGTTGAACCCTGGAGATGGGAATTGAGGTGGGCGGGCAGAATGGAGGCCACCCGTCTGAGCCACATGGACCAAGAGTGAGGAACAGATGGTTCTCCAAAGGAAAAGAGATCTATTATCTAAAAGGCAACTTCCCCTCAACCCACCACTCTTTGGAAAAGTCTAGAACCTGGTCTCTGGTCTCTTGTGATGTCTCAGAGCAAACAAATCCAGGCAAAAGTACTCAATACACAGTGGCCTATCTGCCCACATGGGAAATATCAACCTGCAGGTTCAGTAGCTTATTCACACAATGCTATGAATAAATTTGTGTACAGGTCTTGAATTGTCAGGCAGGTTCCCCAAACCTAATCCCCAACCCAAGACAGCAATTTAGGCCACCCCTTCCCTCAGAGCCCTTAGGACTGAAGGAATGGGAGTGAGCATCTGGCCTTCTGCACCAGGGAGGCTGGGGTGTACAGGATCCAGCACAAGGGTCCCCTACCAGCTGTGCAGTCAGACTGACCCATGGTCTCTTTGAGCGAACCTTCCCAAAGGAAATGACCACACAAAGCCCTTTGGTCGTAGCACACAACCAATTTTTTAATAAAAGCATTACAAATATGTACAAAGCATCTCCAAGGTATGAAATTCCTCTTACAAAAGAGCGTAACAAACCAGCAACATCAGAACCCAGACTGGAACGCCCCCAAACTTATTGCCGCTCTGGCTGGGCCAGAGGCCCTGCAGGGGTTTCAAATCCCCTCACAGCCATCCCTGCCACACACATGGGCTCCTTGTCGCTTATAGTGCAAAAGACCTTGGGGGAGGAGCTCGGGAGCTCAGGTGGGGTAGAGGACAGGAAGGAGGTAAGAAAAGCTTCCCATGCCCGGAAAGCAATCGGACAGGCCTGGTTTGCAGGACCTTATGGAAACTAGGAACACACAGGATAGGAAATGAGTCCACAAAATCCCTCACAAAACCATCCAGCCTTCTGTCAAGTGTCCCCAAATGAGACACCTTCCAGTGACCCCTGCTTGCCCTTGAACTAGCAATGCCACAGGTCCCCCTCATGAAAAGATGCAGTACAGCAGAGCAGGCAGGCCAAAGCCTGGGCCTCAACTTCCTCAGCTGTAAAATGGGACCAAGAGTATTACCTGGGAGAGCGGGTGCAGGGACTCACAGAAGGAAGTTGTGAGATACACTTCACACTCCATGGAAGGGAGCTTTGATTATTGTACAAAGCAGCAACGTGCAGTTTTCATGCTGGGAACAGGGCAAGATAGCAAATTTTTTAATTGCCTTCAGCTGCTAGCATGGCGTGCAGGGGCGAATACTATACAGCAATCTGCCAGCAAGGCCTGGGGGGGTCACAGTAGTGACCC